TATGCTAGATAAAAAATTTTAACTGAAATGTATTGGTCTCGACAATACCTATCGATTGGTCCAAAAACTTGCCACGCCAACTCTATCACCCATAACGCTTAAATCTTAAAATTAAATTAAAATTTCAATCTCGCTTTAGCTGAGTAACGGGTATCTGATAGTCGAGGTACTCGACTATAGCGTTCTTCCTTGTTTAGTATCCGAACATCTTATGTCAAATGATTCGGAACTTTCATTCGATAACATTAATATATTAAGCACCTTTGTTCAAATTAAACAAACTCAAATTCCAATAACGTTAATACTGATCATATAAGCTATAATTTATTTTATTATCACGATTGTATTTAAATTTAAAAAATATCTACTATGCAAGCCACGGCAAATTCATATTGAAATAAACACCGAAAGTTATATGTCCGAAAATGAAATTCTAGTCGAATTGACAAATCATCTAAATTTAGTTTATCCGTAACTTCCAATGAATCGGGACGATTCAATTTAGAAGGGAAAGAGATATCCAGCTCATGCTCCCAGCCTCCTTTACCAATTTATAAAAAAACTCTTTATATACAACTCTTAGCTGAGAACGCCTTCCAGCTCAAGTGCCCAGCCGCCTTACCCAAGTCGTAAGCTATTTCCTATAAAAAATTATTAGCTGGGAACCCTTTACTCAGTTTTCCCACAGAGTCCCAATTGGCTCCCCCACTTCAGTTGTAGTTCATTATTAAGATTCAATTGCGCCGAGGTCATTCTAACATAAACTAAGCTGAGTCCAGCTAATGTAAACACAAGCATCCGGTCAACACCTGGCGAGCCCTAAAACTACAGCGTAATCCGTTTAGCAATCGAGCAGTGAATTTGATCACCCAATTTTCCGACTCTCTTGTGTCCTACTCTTGTCCAACTCTTAATGAGTTCCCCAATTCTCTTTAACCGAGGTTTGCTTATCAGATAATCGGCCCTTGACCAGGCAGTCCGTTTTTGCATCCGAGAAGATCGGTTCAATAATAATTGTAAACAGTAAAATAAAAGTCGATATTAAGGAAAAGTTGTATCGTAGTGAATAAAAAATAAAAATACATTTTTTTAAATAATTCACCAGTGAAATAATTAATTTACATTTACCAAGTCATGAATAAATCAGTTATCAATACACCTATAACTCCGCGTTCTACATTCTCGCTCAGGGAATAGGTCTGGTAGTACTAATAAATTAGTACATCACAGTATAATCCAAGATCAGATAAATAGAGATGTTTTAAATATATAGGATATATATAGACACTCGTCTTGTTCAGTCCCACGGTACTTGGTTCGTATACACAGCTGAAAGCCCTGCCAACTGAAGACGAAGGTCAGGACATCTGGCAACTCTACAGAGCTTGGGGGAAGAAAGAGAGAACTACGAGCTTCAGCGACGGGAACAACATCGGCTGCTTTTACTTTCGGTCCATTGCACCCATTTTTCATTTTGTAAAGTTAATTAATGATCAAGAGTGAAGTGTACGCATTATAAGCTAATGAATAAAGACTAAACTGTTATCTTTGAACTTCAGTCGTACCTACCCCCAAGAGCCCCTCTTACTATGACAGCCGTACATAGCATTTTCGGCACGGTGTCACAACTTAACATGGTGGCCCATGAGGGGACTCTTGCTTGAAGTTGAAAAATCTCAGTTGGTTCTTTCATTTGTTAGTTATTACGCCTAACACCAATCACGCCATCTAACACAAATTGCGGTCGTCTCCGTTTGTGCCCCCAACACGTGCTCTCACACCCACAGAGCACAGTCATCAATACCAACACACCCGGTCGGCTGACAGCGCTTCTACACACACACACACACGGGTGCTGCAAGAAGGCCCGTTATCATTTCGCAACCAGGAAAAAACTCCTACTCAAAGCGGAATCGGAAAAAAGTACGTTACGTAAATTCAGTCGTAAGCAGAAGGGAAAGATCACGTGACTACGGGTGCCTTTTTTGATTTATCAAACAGAGCTAGCTAGGTTCAAAACAATTTGGTAAAAATTCTCATAAAATGTCTGACCACGAAGCTGATGATCCGGCCTTAGCAGGTTTTATTACACTTCAAAAGAAGCGCTTTCAAAGTCTAACACGTCTGCAGCAGAACTATAAGAATCTCTGGTGGCACGGACCATCATGGTTGAGGCAACACTCCAGTGAGTGGCCGGACACAGAGGTACCGAACATGAAATTTGATGAGCAGTCCCTAGAAGCAAAATCTCTTCGGATTCGTTTGCACACCACCCAAGTAGACATTAATATCATTGAGCGGTTTTCGGCTTACACCAAACTCGTTCGAGTCATAGCATACATACTGCGCTTTTGTCATAACACTCAATCGAAGAAAACCAGATCTTACAGTCAGCTGTCGCCGGAGGAACTGGACAATGCACTTCGCCGCGTCGTGAAAATAGTACAAGCCGAAACCTTTCAATCCGACATGCACGCGATCCTCGCAGGAAATCTTCTGCCTCCGAAGAGCATCCTTAGAAATCTCACTCCTTTTCTTGACGACGGCATCTTACGCGTTCGCGGTCGTTTCAAACATTCCAACCTTTTTTCGATCGCAAACATCCACCGCAGCGTCTTTACAGAGCTGGTAATTCAGAACTCCCATCAAGCTACCCTGCTTGGCGGCGCTCATCTTACTCTAGCCCACACGAGGTACAAGTTCTGGATTCCAAATGGAAGACAAGCCGTCACCTAGCATCGGAAGTCAATTGATTGGCGACCTGCCGGTACACAGGGTCAACCCACCGAACCGCCCATTCATTGCGACCGGCGTCGTTTATACCGGGGCAATCGAAATCAAGGCAGCACGGCTTCGTGGGACAAGTACTTACAAGGGATATCCTATCTCGGCCAGCAGTTCACCTAGAAGCGGTTCCCGGACTCTCATCGGAACACTTCCTACTAGCATTTTCTTGTTTCTCTGGTCGCCGAGGACCAGTTCAACATATGTATAGCGACAACGGAACAAATTTCGTTGGCGCCAATAAGTTATTAGCAAGCGCACAACAGGCGGATCGCGACCACACTACGTGTCCTAAATGGCATTTCACTCCGCCATACTCCCCCAATTTCGGAGGCCTTTGGGAGGCCGGGGTCAAGTCGGTCAAGCATCACCTAAAAAGTATTGTCGGAAGTCACAAGCAAACTTATGAGGAACTCGCAACGGTACTCATCAGGATTGAAGTTTGCCTAAACTCTCGGCTACTTTGTCCGCTAACAGCTGATCCAGACGATCTAGAAGCTCTCACGCCGGCACACTTTCTCATTGGTGACACCCTGCTCGCACCTGCCTACTTTCGCCCTCAAAACTCGTCGTTCCGTGGGCAATTTCTGTCTCATAAAAATTTGATCCGTCAGTTTTGGACGCAATGGAGCCGAGATTGGCTGTCCCATCTTCAGACGCGCCCAAAATGGTGTCAGGAAAAGGAGAATTTTCAAATCAATGAATTAGTACTCAAGGACGATCAACTGCCTCCATCGCAATGGCCGCTCGGCAGAATTATTAGTCTCCATCCTGGAGAGGATTCATTCGTTCGAGTTGTAACACTAAAAACAAAATCAGGCAGTCAAAAACGCTCCATCTCCGAGCTTTGTCGCCTGCCGATCTCATGCTAAATGAACCAGCTGTTGCTCCCTTGGTATTCAATTGCATCCGTATGTCATTTCTCTTTCTCTTTGTCTTAGCCGCTACAGGTACAAGGGAATTCAGATCCAGAATCCTGAACAACCCATGTATCATGCTGATTTCGCATTGGCGGGCGGCATGTTCAGTCCCACGGTACTTGGTTCGTATACACAGCTGATAGCCCTGCCAACTGAAGACGAAGGTCAGGACATCTGGCAACTCTACAGAGCTTGGGGGAAGAAAGAGAGAACTACGAGCTTCTGCGACGGGAACAACATCGGCTGCTTTTACTTTCGGTCCATTGCGACCCATTTTTCATTTTGTAAAGTTAATTAATGATCAAGAGTGAAGTGTACGCATTATAAGCTAATGAATAAAGACTAAACTGTTATCTTTGAACTTCAGTCGTACTTCGTTTGAACTTCGGCACGGCGTCACAACTTAACACGTCTTTTTTGAACACGTGCATAATACCGGAATTGCGTATTTCATACTAAACAAGAAAAAACGCTATAGTCGATGGCTTCGACTATTAGAAACCCGTTACTCAGCTAAAGGGAGTGCGAGAGGGATGGAAATATGCTTAAAGCAACTCAACTTTTTTCACTAGCAAACCTAGCATATAGCGCCACCTATCTCCTTCTTCTAAAGCGCCACCTGTTCTACAGCGCAAAAAAAGTACATAGCGCCCCTAGCGGCCTGGTGCCGTATTATTTTTTGGTATGTAGATGTGTATTGATTATAAGAACAAAAGCTCAATAACATTTTTTCAAAATATTAAAAAATGTCGGCGCTAGACGGGTTTTAGTGTTATAGTCGGTTGTGGGCGTCAGAGTGGGCGTTGCAGGAAGCCCAAAAATCTGCATGCAAAGTTTTAGCTCTAACAGTTTCCGAGATCTCTGCGTTCATACGGACAAACCGACAGGCGGACATGACTAGATCGATTCGGCTAGTATTCTTGATCAAGAATATATACACCTTGTGGGGTCGGATACTCTTCCTTCTACCTGTTCATACTTTGCGACGAATCTAGTATAGCCTTTTACTCTACGAGTAACGGGTACGCTTAAATGAACAAGAAGTAGGGAAATGAGGATACGTTCAACTCGTTGGCTGCATTTTCATATTTACATATAGTCTTGCTGCGGATATGTGCCGCAAGAAAAGAGTTAGAATCTAGAAATTATATAAAAATAAGATAATAATAATTTGTATGGTAAGTTATTTAATTAAGTTGTGCGTCAAAATGAAATGGGTGCTAAGCGCTGATCTTAGTCAAAAAGAATGAATGCCACATTTTTAAAATCCTTGGTAATGCGAAACATTTTATTTACCTGTAAGTTCTTTATTACTATATAGAATCGGCTCAAAAATGATTTTCCTTGATAAGTCATAAGCGCATTACCATGTCGATGTATACCAGAAAGATTATATACTATCCCATTGGTGAGGTAAAGACCAGCCTCATATGTGATGAAGAGGGGTTTCTGTGAAGAAAAGGGGATCTTACTGTATTAAGTTACTTAAATGTGCAAGCGACTTAAAGCATACTATGCAAATGCTTTCCTTCATATTAGGCAGCTGTAAATGTTCGATTCCAAGTTTTTGGAGATGCAAAATAATCATTGGGGCTACCATATCAACCTCTTCGTTAATTATAGTCCACCCAATAGTTTCCTCTTCCAAGTTAGAAGATGTAGTATCAGAGTGTGACCTTTAAAATAAGCAAATAAATAAAATATATGTCAAGGGGTTAATATCTTTCGGTTGAGAGCTCAAAAATGGTTACGGCGTTACGATTTATCTCTCCCTTTCTCTCTCGTAGCTCGAATTTCTGCTGCTATAAAACAGTTTTGGATTTGACAAACCAGATTTAAATGTTAATCACAACCCAGTCGGACAGTCAGACATGTGGTGCTTGATTCCACAAGAATTTCCATAGGAAAAAGCCCTTTTGTCTGTCTGTCTGTCTGTCTGCCTGTCTGTCTGTCTGCCTGTCTGTCTGTCTGCCTGTCTGTCTGTCTGCCTGTCTGTCTGTCTGTCTGTCTGTCTGTCTGTCTGTCTGTCTGTCTGTCTGTCTGTCTGTCTGTCTGTCTCCCTGTCTGTCTGTCCGTCTGTCTGCCTGTCTGTCTGCCTGCCTGTCTGCTGCCTGTCTGCCTGCCTGTCTGTCTGTCTGTCTGTCTGTCTGTCTGTCTGCCTGTCTGTCTGCCTGTCTGTCTGTCTGTCTGTCTGCCTGTCTGTCTGTCTGTCTGTCTGTCCTGTCTGCCTGCCTGTCTGCTGGTCTGTCTGTCCTGTCTGTCTGTCTGCTGTCTGTCTGCCTGTCTGTCTGTTCCTGCCTGTCTGCGTCTGTCTGCCTGTCTGTCTGTCTGTCTGCCTTTCTGTCTGTCTGTCTATCTGTCTATCTGTTTGTCTGTCTGTCTGTCTGTCTGTCTATCTGTTTGTCTGTCTGTCTGCCTGTCTTTCTGTCTGTCTGTCTGTCTGCCTGTGTGTCTATCTGTCTGTATGTCTGTCTGTCTGTTTGTCTGTCTGTCTGCCTGTATGCCTGTCTGCCCGTCTGCCTGTCGCTGTCTGTCTGTCTGTCTGTCTGCTTGGTCTGCCCTGTCTGTCTGTCTGTCTGTCTGTCTGTCTATCTGTCTACCTGTCTGTCTGTCCTGCCTGTCTGTCTGCCTGCCTGGTCTGTCCTGGCCTGTCTGTCTGTCCTGCCTGTCTGTCTGTCTGTCCTGTCTGTCTGTCTGTCTGTCTGGTCTGTCTGTCTGTCTGTCTGTCCTGTCTGTCTGTCTGTCTGTCCTGTCTGTCTGTCTGTCTGGTCTGCCTGTCTGTCTGTCTCCTGTCTGTCTGCCCTGTCTGTCTGACTCCCTGTCTGTCTGTCTGTCTTGTCTGTCTGTCTGCTGTCTGTCTGTCTGTCTGCCTGTCTGTCTGTCTGCCTGTCTGTCTGCCTGTCTGTCGCCTGTCTGCCTGCCTGTCTGTCTGTCTGTCTGCCTGTCTGTCTGTCTGTCTGTCTGCCTGTCTGCCTGTCGTGGCCTGTCTGGTCTGTCTGTCTGTCTGTCTATCTATCTGTCTATCTGTCTACCTGTCTGTCTGTCTGCCTGTCTGTCTGCCTGCCTGTCTGCCTGCCTGTCTGTCTGTCTGCCTGTCTGCTCTGTCTGTCTGTCTGTCTGTCTGTCTGTCTGTCTGTCTGTCTGTCCTGTCTGGTCTGTCTGTCTGTCTGTCTGTCTGTCTGTCTGTCTGTCTGTCTGCCTGTCTGTCTGTCTGCCTGTCTGTCTGCCTGTCTGTCTGACTCCCTGTCTGTCTGTCTGTCTGTCCTGTCTGTCGTCTGTCTGTCTGCCTGTCTGTCTGTCTGCCTGTCTGTCTGTCTGCCTGTCTGTCTGCCTGTCTGTCAGCCTGTCTGCCTGCCTGTCTGTCTGTCTGTCTGCCTGTCTGTCTGTCGTTGTCTGTCTGCCTGTCTGCCTGTCTGCCTGTCTGCCTGTCTGTCTGTCTGTCTGCCTGCCTGTCTGTTCTGCTGTCTGTCTGTCTGTCTGCCTGTCTGTTTGTCTGTCTATCTGTTTTGTCTGGCTGTCTGTCTGCCTGTGTGTCTATCTGTCTCTGTCTGTTTGTCTGTCTGTCTGTCTGTCTGTTTTGTCTGTCTGTCTGTCCTTGTATGCTGTCTGTCTGCCTGTCTGCCTGTCTGTCTGTCCTGTCTGTCTGTCTATCTGTCTGTCTGCCTGCCTGTCTGTCTGTCTTTCTGTATGTCTGCCTGTCTGTCTGTCTGCCTGTCTGTCTGTCTGCCTGTCTGTCTGCCTGCCTGTCTGCCTGCCTGTCTGTCTGTCTGTCTGCCTGTCTGTCTGTCTGTCTGTC